TAAAAAATAAGATTAAAATATGAAAAAGAAAATACAATGAAATCAAATAAATTTAAATAAAGCAAAAAAGGAAATAAATATTATATGATCAAAAAATTAAATAAAATCATTTTAATATAACAAAAGCTATCAATAACGATACGACTAATAATGAAAAATTTATAAAATGTACTATTAAAGATGATAAAATAAAAACATAAAAAATTTAAGTAATTTCACATAAAAAATTAATAAAACTATAACAAATAAAAATTCAAAAAATCCAAAAAATTTAATAAAAAAATTAGTTTAAGAGCTTTTCCCTTAATTTTAATAATTTCCACTAATTTTAATCAGCAAAAAATTGCTAAGATATTTATACAATTTGCTGTATGCTCGTTTTAAGTAGACACTACTATGTATACATACATACATTAAATAATTACTTATGCAAGTAAATACTAAAAATTTATTTTAAACCAAAACCGCATGATTTTGGGAATATAAAAAAGTTATCATGAGAAATTACACGAAAAAAATATAAAAAAACAAACCACGAAAAGGCGAAAAAACACGAAAAGAGAAAAACAAAAAACAAACACTTATAGAAATAAAAAATAAGTTAAGTACAGAAAAAAAGTATTAAACAAAATATAATATATTAAGTGCTAGAAAATGTTTACACACTCACACACATTCAAAGACATTAGCAAAAAGAAATAATAAATAAATATTATTAATTTAAAAACCAAAAATTTTGTAATGCCACTGCGCAGAGAGTACGTTTGTTAGTTGTAAGAATAAAAAAAATAAACAATATTAAAAAATTAATTAAAGTTATTATAAAAATATATATATAAAAAATACTGCAATTAAGAAATATGAATTAAGATGAAAAATGTATTTACGCAAGAGAATGATATGATTATAATTATTATTAAAATGTATTAATATTAATATATTATTATGACATTTATTATTATTACAATGAGAAAAAATGGTGAAATAAATAAAGATTTACTAAAAAAATAAAATCTGTATAATGGTTTTCTTTTTAACTTCAGAGTTCGCTTTGCTGCTGGGATGAGTTGATATTTCGAATAAAAGAAAATTTTGTTAAACGATATACATAATGAGCTTTAATAATAAATAAGTTAATTTTGTGCGTGAAATAATGCGCTACACTAGTGAAATTAACCGGGGTATGTCCTTAACACTGCTTTCAAAGTGCAGAAGGACAAGTGTTAAGCAATTACAATTTTGTAGACAGCACAAATATGTATATATGTTTAATTCATGTAGACAATTTTTCTGAACTAATTTATTGTTTAACAGGTGGCAACCCTGTACCAAAATGTCACCAAGAGAAGTCTTAGGGTTGAGTCTTAAGGTTGAAGACCTGTTTAGTTCCAAGCCAAATATAGGACATCAAAATTAAAACTGTTGGCAACTCTAAAAACAAATTTCAAGCAATTGGCAACGTTTCTCAAAAAAATCTCATACAAAAATCTTTCATAAACTTTTTTTAGTCCGCTGTCAATATTGAAACGTCTATTTTATTTTAAGAAAAATGTTAAACAGGTGGCAACGTTCCTCATATTTTAAATATTTTTAACTATATGCCTGCTAGAATATCTTTAGTTGCATAGGCATATTATAATAGATCTATTAGTTTAAAAACAATATAACGCACGTGAAAAATCAGCGCTGGAAAGGACAGCTTAGCTCAATATAAGCTTAAAATAGTCTAAAAGAGTCTAAATATCTAAGTATGTGGGAAAAATTATCAAATCTAGAATTGTGATCACTCCTAACAGCAGTATTTGCCATGATATAAAAATTTTGGACTGTATATTTCTACCTATCTATAGGAGCCATTGATCACGTTTCTTCAAGTGTCCTCACCATTTTTCCAAACTCAAGTCATTTATTACAAGAATACTGTTAGACTCAATATTTGAGAAAACACTACCTGTTACAAAAATACTGTTAGACTCAATATTTGAGCAAACACTACCTGTTTAACGTTCAAACCTTATACTTTCTCACATATTATCACTCGATATATCGCCTGCTCAATTTCTGCTCATTCGTTCATACTCTCCCTCTGTCTCTCTTATTAAAGTGCTTTGCTTTCTTCTTTGCTCTCTCTTAATCAACACCGCAACTACTTCCGCTTCACAAGTGTATGACACTAGCCTCGTAACACTCGAACCAATCAGTCATTTTTAGGCATTTCCACTAAATGGCTCATTATCATCAAAGAATCCAAATAAAAACTATATGTCATACTTTCGAAAGCAATTAAGCTTGGTTAATGACAATAACCAAGAAATATAAAAAAAAACCCAAACTCACATGAACTTTCAGAATAAGTAAGCAACCTTTCCGGCGCTACAACGGACTTGTCGCTTGCGGTATTGCCAGCTCAGCTGTCAACGACACACTTCACACATAAATATAACAACAAATGTGCACACAAGCAAACAGCGCAGTGTATTGTAAAGCTAAAAAAACTAGTTCTACACCATACAACAACAACAGCAACAATTTCGTAATGATAACTGCTTAATCAGTGCACCTAATTCCGGTATTTGGAAGTGCTTGCAAATTCTGAGAATTTTTTTTTTCTCGTCACGCGTATTTTTACGTGAGTAATGCACAAACGATTTCAAAAAAAAAAAGATTTATAAAAAAAAAGTTACAAAAATGGTATGAAATTTTGGTCAATAACACTTTAATGTCAACAGTCCAGAAATTCTTATAAAATGTTTTGAAAATATTATTTTTTTTTTGTTTCGAAAAACAACTGTTTTCGTTGTTGCGTGGGTTTACAGGGCAATCGCCGATCGCTTTCAGTTTTTTTTTAACCGCATGTGTGACAGTTATTTCGAGCAAGTGCATACTATTGAACGCTTTTTGAGACAGTTAATGTCATATGTTTACATTTTGAGCTCAAATACGAATTTGAGACTCGTCAATGAGTCAATAAAATGTTAAAAGTCACTGATACTAAGCAAAAAAACTCGACGCAAACTTAAAACAAACAACTCTTCCGGATTGACCACATAAGCAAGTAAGCGATTTTTTGAGGTTTTATCAGGAATTAGAGAAGTTTTGAACTTTGTGGGGGACCCCAAGCCTAGTTGAGAACTCTTTAAAAACAAGAAAACACAGAGAGAGAGAGCTATTATAGATGCAATCTCATGTTTTGTAGAAAGCTACTTCGGTACGAAAAAACCAACAACCTTATTATGAAACAGTTAAATAATATAACACGTCAAAGCTATCAACCGAGCAGAACTCAGGAGTGATATCGAAACAATAGTCAAAATTATAGAGTATATGCAATACGAGAACCACAGCCTCAGAGAGTAAATATAGGGCTGGAAAAACTCAATAGTCCAATTGTCGAAGTTATACTCGTATTAGACATTTTTAGACTGTTCAGACCTCAAAACGTTTTAATAGCACCACTTTCACACAGGAAAATTGTACTTTCCTTCTGGTCGACATCAAGAGACATTTCATATGTATGTTGTTCTTGAAGAAACTCTCTGTTATTATCTATCAGATTCCTTGGGAGCAGTCTGAAGCCAATCTCAGCAGTCATTTCAAAAAATATATATGATTTCTAGAAGTATCTTATTGTAGTCTTTACATCATTTTCAGTATGTACTCAAACTCTTACCCTTCTCAAATTCCAAAAAAATTACTTCAGTTTTCCTTTTTCCAGTAAGTAACGTGGCACCCATAATTGATTACCTTTACTTACAAAGATCGGATTAGTGGAGATTTGTCACTTATAACCTTGAAAACACGACCAACCGTTGAAATGAAATTGTGTATCCTGCAATTAACCCGAGAAGCGCCTTCACCTCAAAAGAAACTTTGATGAACTGAAGTCTTGTATTAAATGAACCTAACCTAGAGCTGAGTAGGCGTCTATTAATCTCCTTTGTTCGGCATAACAAATAAGCTCAACAAAAAACTGGACCAGAATCGCAATCAAACTTGATGTTCAACATTATAACTGTTTCAGCCGGCAGGACTAGAAGTTTCGCTTATCTGTCGTTTCAGAGACACCTTTTATAATACACGTTCCGAGTTCATACCAAGCTAACTTTGTTAACCGTTGAACCGACATAAAAATGGGGAACTTACAGAAATTTCTACGCGCTATATCAATACTATACCAAATCGGCTCCTAACAGCGTATATTCCCAATCATCTTTTACGGATCTGTGATTTTTTGGTGTTTTATTAGACTTTTCCTGTATTTCTATGGATGTAAATTCGAGCTTATGTCAGCCTATAAGTACTACTTTCTATAAATTGGAAAGGTGAAGCTGATGGTAGGCGTTGGGTTGGAACTGAGTTTATATATAACTGGAGAATAGAGACTGCTGATATAGAGGAGATACTGAAAATTTCCCAAATCGGAAAGTTTAAATCGCAACGCTGAGCTCTTACGGCTCCATCTCGAGTTTGATTGTTGCTTAGAATTCATTGAAAGAGATTTTTGCAAACATTATGATTATATTGTTGATTACAGCATTACTTGGTTGGAGTCTGGAAGTTATCCGACAAGTAGAGGGTATTAGAACCGATTAAGCCACCGTCGAATAGTTGAGTGATATCTAGATTTAGCCTTTCGTAACCAAAATTTTAAACTGAGGACTTAATAAGATCAAAACGTTCGAGTTCAGAAGACTGCTGAGGCCTAATACTTTGTGTGATAGGTTTTCGAAATCATCAATGCACTAATAAAAATCCAAAGCTACGTTCTCTCTTAAACCTCTTTTAATGACTCAGATCAAAGCTTGAGTTGATGATTTCAATCGCAGAAAGTCAGCATTTTTTTTGCACATTTTTACATATTCTGCCACGATTGCTGGTACTTAAAATTTCAATTATATATTTCGAACTATTAAACGAATTTTTAAGCTGAGTTTCGAAAATATTTTGCAAATCCAAGTACCCCTCTGACCTTTCGCTACAATAATAAACAAATAACGAATGTGGGCCATAGATTAGAGAATTTTTTAATAGGCAATGTAATACATATACACATATATAGATAAGCTTGGACCTGCACTTGAATTTCGAAGTAACAGTACACGCTAGCCCCTCCACTTTCCCCGCCAAAGCGAAAGCGAAAGCAAAACCGTTGTCAATGACCGATTACCGGCAAACAATGGACTAAAAGTCAACAGCATCCGAAGCAAAAGTGAACTGATTGATCAGCAACGGAAAAAATACGAAGCACAAAACAAAAAAAACACAAAAGTAAATGCACGCGGCGTGCCGAAGCAAACACGAAGACGCGCGAGGCGACAGGCAAGAACAAAGTGGTGGTGTGAAGAACATGGTGAGACATAAGAAGACAAAGCTAATTTTCTGGCTCGCCCAAAAAAAAATCGCTTGACGTGCGGGAGTGCTACAGAATCACAACACATAACAACAATAAAGCCGAGGAACAACCGGATGACGGGCACTTCCGATGCGCTTTGGCATTGTATAAAAAGTGCTGGACGCAGCTGGATTCCACATCAGTCGAACACTCTCCGTTGTGCGTACACAATCGCAATTTAAAGTAAATCAATTAAAGCAGATATTTTGCTTAAAAGCCAAGTTTTGTACAGAAAACAATAAACGAAAAACAAAATGAAATTCTACGTGTGTGTTGCTGCTGTTTTTGCTGTTGCCTTCGCCAGCTTGTGCTTGGTGAGCGATGCGCTGGTGGCACGCGCCCAATACAAAAACTCAGGTGAGTGTGCGAGGGTCAAAGAGAAAAATATTAAAGCAAAAATAGATTTGTACATAAATTTAAAAAAATGTAAATTGAAAATATATATAAAATTAAAAAAAATATATATAAAAAAAAGCTATAAAATTAAAAAAGTAGATAATAATAAAAATAAAAATACAAATATAAAAACAATATAATTTAAAAATATGTGAAATTAAACCAAAAATTATAAAATTAAAATAATATATAAAATTTAAAATACATAAAAAAAATTATAAACTTAAATATAAAAAAATTTTAAGGTGAGTGGGGATATATTACAAAATTTTATTGAATTTCAAAAAAATTAATAATAAAAATTAAACAAAAAAAATTATTTTTTAATTAAAAACTTTAAAAACTATAAATTCTAATGAAAAAATTTTTTTAAAAAGCACTCAGCTCATGCTCTAAAATAATAAAAAATTCAAAACATAAAAGTAAAAATTTTAAGTGGAAAAATTTAAAAAAATAAAATATAAAAAATTGGGTATACTTTTAAATGTTTTATCTAAAATGAAAAATTAGAAAATTATCTATTTTATGGTAATAATAATTGCAAATGAAAAAATTTTAATTCTTAGAACAAAGAGTCTCAAAAATATATAAAGATTTTAAATTAACAAAAAGGCAAAATTTTAAGTTAATACAAAAATAATTAACTTTTTCAAAAACAATAAAAAAATTTCAATACATTAATGAAAATTTCAAGTAAAAAAATTATATAAATGTAAATTAGTAAATTCAGAATTTTAAAATGTTAAGGAAATTTTCGATAGAAATACCTTATATAACGGTGATGAAAACAAATAATAAAATTTAAAGATTAAAAAAAAAAAAATTAAATAAACTTTATTAAATTTTATATATACTTGTATTAACAAAATGCCAATGAATCGCTTTTCGATATTTAAATGAAAATTAGTAAATTTAAAATTAAAAAAACTTTAGCGACATTAGGATAAAAATAAACTTAATACGATAGAAACTTAAATAAAAAGTTCAATATAAAATTTTTTAATAAAAAAAATGTATGCAAAAAATTGAATTTATAATTAAAAATTAAAAAAAAACAACAAATAAAAACACGCTTGAAAAAAATTTAAAAAAATTTTAAAATAATCACAAGTTTACAACTCTAAATCTTAAATAAGTACATTTTTTGACATTTTTCAATAAAAACATTTTTTTAAATTAATTTTTTACTATTTTGCTTGTATTTGCATTTCCTTAAACACTTCCACTATTCTTCACACTCACTCTTCCTCCCCACAGCCTACCCCGGCAAATGCTACATCAGCAGTGATCTGATACTCTCGCCCGGCCAAAGCGGCAAAGCGCCGAACAACCCCTGCGCCAACATCAAGTGCTTGGACAATGGCAATGTGGAATTCACAACGTGAGTAATCGGCTTACTTTTGCGGAAATAAACGCATGCAATATTTTAGTCACACTGACAAATCCGAAATAAATTAATGCTTATGCGAAAACAAAAAATTCCATCTCACACCAACAGCTGTCCTGCTGTGGCGCCACCTAAAGGCTGCAAGCAACGTGACTTCGTCAACGCCAACCGGCCCTATCCGGACTGCTGCGAACGCGCCTATGACTGCGCGCGCAGCTTTTAAGCGTGAGCAATGCGTGTGAACCGTCAACAAGTCCAAAAACCACAAAAACGATGAAAAAGAGCATACGAAAAGAACAAGAAAATATAGCGAAAAGCAGATCATCCACATATTACATACACACATACACATATACGGCATTACACATCGCGTATAAGTTCTTCATAATCACAACCACCAGCCACGGCATACCTGCTGCATCGTCATATTTTTTATTTCGTATTTTATCATGCTTCTTCATCGGCAATCACATAGTGTCATCATAGTCATTTAGCCATTTGCTTCCTCATTGCCGTTGAGGTGTGCGTCGAGTCGCAATACGCCCCGCCTTGTTCGACGCCAGCTCAACACACGTCACATACACTACTCACACACACACGCATCCATTTAGTCACACGTTCATCTTTGAAAGTACAACGTGCAATACCGGCCATCAGCTTCGGCTGTTCTGCAACGAGCCCAGCCCTGTCTGTCTCAGCGCTGTCGGCTAGAGAACCAGCATATCACTGCCATTCTTTCTGGTGACTTCCGTGGCGGCTTGCAAATGCGCAGTCACCAGTCACTTTAGTATAATAATTTAAGAAATTATAAAATTAATTTTTTAGTTTTTTTTTTCACTCATTTTTATTATTTATTATTGTCGGTCTCATGGCGCTTTATTTGGTTTTGGGTTTTTATTTATTTTTTATTGTTTATTTCGCACTCATGTTTAGAACTTTTATTCGCAATTTATTAGTTTGCATTATTTGCGCATTAAATTTTTATTTTCATATAATTTCGCATATAATTTTTATTTTTAATTATTTTTATTACTTTTTTGGTAATTATTTTCGTATTTTGTTTTATGCCATACACATTAACCATTTTTTAATTTTATTTTTTTATTATTGTGTTAAATTTTTATTTTTCATTATTTTTCTTTTTTGTTATTACATAACCGCACTTTTTCATAAATAAAGTTTATAAAATAATGTTAAAGTAAAAGAAAAAAAATATTTGTTTGTATTGATATATGTTACACTACTAGCACGAAAATAGGCGAAAGGAAAAACAGCAAGCTCTCAGCTCTTTCAAGCCTGCCTTGTAAGCTTGTACAACGAAAAGGCTGTTTCGAAGATTGATTTCGGACTATAGTGTTATGCGCGAACTATAAATCGAGAGAGCGAACTATAAATCGAGAGAGAATGGTTGGGTCAAGCCTAGTAAGCAGCTTTTTAGCCGGCTCTAATTTTTTTTTTGTAATGAAGATACTGGCATAAACAAAAATATATCTGTTTCACACATTCAAATTACAAATAGCTACACACTACTGATTAAAAAACGAAAAAGGAAAACTTACATACCAACACTTTCACGCATTCAATCACTGCGTGCAGCAAAATTTCATTTTCACATAACTGTTTCACACTCCGTTTTATTATATTATAATATAAATGCCCTCCTTGCTTTAATTTTACTTTTGCTTGTGCCACAGAAAACCACACGTGAGTTTTGCATATATTGCCAAAACGTCTTAAAAATACGTTCACTATATTTTAAAATAAGCAGCGTAGAGTTATGTAATACTTTTCAGTCTAAAACATGTATGAGCACATTTTATTTAAATAATTCTGTAGGAAATTGCGATGGAAATTCGACTTTAAATGTGCTACGTTTTGCGGCCTCCTCTTCAGCGGCAATAGCGGCGTTGATGAAATCTCTATAAAAAAAAAAATAATAATCAGATTTAATTGCAACTTTAAAAACTTAAGATATACTAACTCTTCATCTTCTAGAGTGATATTGACACGCCCAGTTGAAATTTGTGTGGGACGTATTGAACCGAAAAAGTCGGTAATAGGTACTTTATTGGGATCACGTCTATAAAGGTCTTTACGCACGCCAACTGTTGAAATGCAAACGCGTTTGGGGCAAACTTGTAACTGTAGGAAAGATACATTTTTATGTAGGTTAAATACTTTATATATGTCAAAATAGTTGACTTACGAATTCGCCCATTGTCTTTTTACTATTTGGTTGTACGCGTTCGAGAAACTCTAAGGCATAATAAGTGTAGCGATCTATCATATAAACGCCAATGGATTGGTCAACGTGATGCTGAGTAAAAAAAAAATATAATAAAAGTGGTTATTAAATGACCGAAAGTTAGGTCAAAAAAAAGTTAAAAATTATTGTTCAATATAATTTAATTTTTTCCTATTAAAACCTTTACTTGAGTAGATGCAACACTCACCGATAGCGAATCTTCACCCACCAAACTGCTTGCCACTGCCAAAACATTAGGTGAGGTGAATTTCTCGTACAAGGAAGCGGCTTGACAAGTGTCAACCATGAAAAAAAGCTCATTATAACTGCAAAAACAATAAAAAATAGTTATTAAAGAATGTTTATATATTTATAAATAATAAATATATGTATATCCACTCACCGCTTTTTCTCCCACATTTGCTCAACCGCATCGGCTAATTCTTGACTGGTTATTTCTTCGGAATCTTGAAATTTCAAAAAACCATCACCACCATGACCTGTTAGGTAGATTAGCACATTACTGCCCGCATCGGTTAGCAACTTCTTCGAGCGTGCCGTACCATTTTGTGTGCGGCCTGTCAGCAGACGTACGAAATTTTCCACCGTCACTTCATAACCACGATAATCCACTTCCACATCATCACCATACACGTTTATATGTTGCTTTGCATTATTATACACCTGACCAGGACGTGGATTGCGTGCATTACAAGCCATATCATCGGCCAACATCAGTATGATTTGTGAGTCGGGTATGCCTAGTCGCTTCACAGAACGATAAATGCTCAGTACATTAGCCACATGACGATAGTTAAACCAAAAACGCGATGCGTCGACGAGCACCGCCCAGTTGTTGGTGTGTGTTGAACGTTGTACGGATTCCACATATTTTTCAGGCAACTGATTATTGGCCTGCGGTTGTAGCATTTTTACCATTAGAAAAAGTTGTTTTCGATTAATTTAAATAGCAGACTTACTTCCTGACTAGTTATTGGGGTTAAAATGCTAAATAGCGTGCATACCAGCAGCAACAAACGTCCAATTGTCTGCATCTTTGTTTTCTTTTCTTTTTTTTGTAAACTACACAAAAAACAGTACCAAATAAATTGGAAAACCGCTTAAACAATTTTTGGGACAAAGTGCGCGGACAGCTGTTCTGCGGGTCAGCTGTTTGTAAAGAACGTAAAACATAGCACGTAAATTGCTACAGAGTGTTTCGATGATTTCAAAGTTATAAAGCTAGAACAGGGTGCAAAGGGGAATATTTTAATGCTTTCAATTAATATGTAATTAGTATCATGAATTATTATTTTAACCGTTATTGTCAACAGATAACACGTTTCATAAAATCTAAATTAAGTTCTTGAAGTTCCAATTTCCTGATTTTAACTAAATCAATCGTTAAATCAGAGAATTAATGAATTAACATTCTCTGCTCTCATAGCCAATATCAACGGTTGTAGGCTTGTATAAATGATATTTTAGTTCAGTTCTACATACTAGAGGCTATTAGAGGAAAATGTGCGAGTTGTTTTTCTATTTGCGAGCGGATCAAAGTAAATGCTAAGTTTTATTACGAAACACTCGCTATAATATTGGTTGGGTCACAATTTTTTAAGAGCCAATTGGATTTTCTATCGTTCTTTTCTAAAGATTGGCAGCCTCTATTTTTTATATAGGGCTTCATTTCAAGAATACATTCATATAGAGACTAGATAGTTTATAGTAAATTATGTCTCCTTCGAGCTTTATTGGCGCCACTTCATTCGATTTCTTCTATTTTAAGAGCCAAAATATTGCTAAGGTTCCTTCATGAATTCAATTTTTCTAGACCTTAAGGTCCAATTACTTTAATTGTGTCACTTTTGTTGTTTTTTCGGATTCTTGATTTGATTTTGAGGCCATTACTAAGCTTTGAAACAAAAAACAACGCTAACAACACATCGTACAAATTTTAATTATGAATAGAAAAAAGAGAATTTCGTAAAAAAATTGTTGTTGTTTTTTAGTAGAATTGTAGAGTAATATATTTAATTAGTATTCAAATATTCAAATTTTTATATTATAGCTTATGTTGAATTTTGGAAATTGTGTTTTTTAATTGAATTATCGACTTTCACATCTAATACATTTTACTAGTATTAAAAAATTAATATATTTAAATAGTAGGTTATGCTAAATTTGTTAATAAAATTAGTTAACAGTTATTTACATTTTTTTTTAAGTGAAGCATATATTTTCACCGTGTATTTCATTGCTGCTTCGCTATGGTAGCACTCTCCAAACCGGAATTTTTCAAATCAGGCGAAAACATTGCCCATATATTTTCTTGATAACTTTGAGTTTCATTGTTCAAACCGCCAACACAATTCAAATAGCGAGCGCAACACGTGGGGAAGTCCGCTTGTTCATTCACATAATCGCCCCACTCGCAGCCATCTGGAGCGCCAATCGAGCCACAACTAAGAAAAGTTAAAAAAAATATATACAAAATATAAAAAAATTAAATTAATAAAACAAAAAATTAGAAAAAAATTATTGTAGAAAAAAAAATATATATAAAAAAATAGTATTAAACAATTAAAAAATAATAATAAATAAAGTACTAAAATTATCTACTACACGCACCCAGTGATTGTGGCGTCGCCATTTTCATTGTCGCAATGTATTACGGCGCACGTCTCCGGTGATTTTACTTTCTCGCCCGGCGAAATGGCGATCGTTTCGCTGATGGTGCATTTACCGGCATTCGCTGCAGATTTATATGTATCAGAAATAACTGTAAAAATCATAGTCGCAAAACTTACCTGGATTATGATAATTTCCCAATGCCATCCATGCTGTCACCTGTCCTGCTCCACCCAGATAGAGTAGCACCGTAAATAACAGTAAAACTTTTAATTGCCGGCACATTATGCGTTTTAGTACAATATAAATGCTCTTCCATTTACGCGCTGAAAGTGACTAAAAGCGGCCAGAGTGAGCATAATTTAAAAAGCCCAATTTGACTCTCTCTATTAACAAGACTGCATATCCCATAAGCAAGCAACAAACAGCGACCACAATTGGTAAAAAATATATGTAGTTGTGCAGCACAATGCTCTTGGAGTAGCGTGAGTAATAAAGCAGAGTTGCCAAATAGCGGAAATAAAATACCTTGAAAGTACTCTTTATCATATTACGTTAAGTCATATAATAAGCATACCCTTTTTTATTTGCAAAACTTTGTTGCTTGAGAAAGTAAGCCGGATTACCAAATTACAAAAATAGAATATCTTCAAAATTCCTCTGCACCTGTTTAGTAAATTATCGTTATAACTAATTATGCTTTATTATTTCAAAAGTTTTGTTGCTTGTGAAATTCCTTTCAGTACTCAAAAAACCTCGAGCTTCCATTAAATTCTAGAGAGACTTCTGTCTTTTGGAAGAATTCTAGCAGTTTTTTTAAGTATAAATCAGGGTTGTGCTATTATATCTTGTTATAAAAAGTAACTTTAACTGAAATAACTGCACATTTTCAGAAGCATACATATATAATATTGATTTAGAATCAGAACTTTGGTGTACAACTTAGAAATCGAATCTCATTAAACGTATAAGTTCCTTGTAGCTCTCAGTATTTTTTTGGAATACTTAGTTGATATGGAACTAGAGCTATAAAATGTTGGGTAGATTAAAATATAAATATCATTTATACTCTCAAATCGTCGCCTCCCTTTTGCTCTCAGACAAATTAGCAGTAAGTGAGAAATAAAACCTTAGTAATAATTGAGTGTTATTGATTAAGATCCAAACAATGCTATCAGATTTATAGATTAAAGCTTAATAATAACATACGTTTTCAGATTGCTGAGTTTTTTTTTACTCAAATGGGTTTTGGATTGCTGACTAATTTTAGTATTATAAAGATTACGAATTAGAGCTGTATTACTATATTTCTAGATTAAACCTGCATAAGCTCATGATTCCTGAGAATATGGCCATAGAATCTAGATTTATTGACATTTTCTGGCTCTCTAAATATTTTTGTTGGTTTACTTATATTTATACTTGAGATCCACCATTCGTCCATAATTAAACCGTGCCATATTGCTTTAGAGTGCATCTAATGAAGATGAGAGAACAGTATACTATGCTTTTCAAAGTCATAAAGGTTCAGCATTTTATAACTTTTGTACAAACGGACGAAGTTCGAAACCCTTTCCAAGAATGATAGATTAACAAAATGTCTGCTCCCTCTCTTTGAAATGACGTAACGCATTAGCTAAGGAAGAGAAGGAAGATCAAAATAAAAAAAAGTTTTCTTTATTATTTAAAATGGAACCATTCTGAATATATTGTTTATAACGTCATGTCCCAAGCATTTTCTTGTCATACACACTCAAAGCTAATAAAGAAAAGAAACTGCCTGTCTTAAACTCGACATTCTTTAAAGTGTTTGATTGGACTTACGTATATAAGGGGTACCAACAAGAAAGACGTGAAGGCAAAACTTTATAAAACACTAAAATTTGGTCAAAATGGGTTTTTTTCTTTTTATGCAGATAATTTTATGCCACTTATGATTTGAACAAAATGTTGGCCAAATGACCACCACGTTTACGCCAATGATTTCGATGACCGGATAGATGTTTGTTGACGAAACCATTAAGCTAGAAATGGAGCTCATCTGAGAAGATGGTTTTTCGGATTTCGTCAAATACAAAAGCCAAAGTCAAAGTAAGTTATCATCCGAAAAATTTTGGTACTTCTCCTATTGGATTTATTTGCTATGAAATATATTCACATATATATTGGCAACTCTATCTAGTGAGAGTATTTGTGATTGAGCAGATGAGCGGATGAGTTAAAGCGCTGTTAGCGCCAATGAAAAAGATGAGAAGTGTGGGCGGGCAGTTCAATTCACAGGCAGACAAACATATGCATATGTATGAGAGGTTAGAATTTGCAGCAATTTTTTTTTGTATTTATTTATTTTTTTTAAATTTTTTTTCCTTTTTTTTTGTAGGAAAATTAATGACTCGACAGTGTTTCTATACCTTTGAATGTTTATATGGATTTTTAAATAATTTTCAGTATATTTTTATGAGACTTTTACGACTTATGGTAATACGCGAAAATATTAAGTAATTTCCATAGTAGTGCATAACAATGTCTATGTAATATTGCTTAAATTTGAAAAAATTAAGTTTTTTAATCTCGATTGTTTTTAAGTGCTGCCACTTTTTTGTATAAACTACAAAAATGCATTTTTGTGCCAAAAAAAAAAATATATATATTTAATCATCATCAATCAATAGCAGCCCAGCTGATGAAGTGGGGGTCTCAATATATTGGCACATGAGCATACGAATGATTTCAGCCCTGCTAGTCATCTGAAATGAAAAAAAACGATTATCAATTTGCAATGATGTCGCAATTGTATAAACTAGCGATAAGTAATAAAGTTTTTTGACAAAATGCCGACGGTTTGAAAAAAAACCGATTTTTTTACAATTTTTTGTATTTTCACGTATATTTTAAAAATAGTAAAAATTGAAATTTGGGCATGAGGCAAGTTTATACTTGAGAGAGGTCTATTAAAAAGATTCGTTGAAAAATTCTAGTAAATCGGTCCAGTAGAACTCGAGAAATCGTGGGTATCGTGTTGAAAAAGTCTGGTCTGAGAAAAACGCATTTAAAGTTTCGCGTTAAGTCTTTTGTTTAAGTTCGATTAGATCCAGCCGAACCAGTTTGTAGGAACTCCGAAAATAATTTAAACTTTCAAAATTCCTCTCGTAGACACATTCTCAAATAGTTAAACTTTGAAAATATGAAAATAAATAGATTTTTTTGAAATTCTACACTAGAATACTCCCTTAAAAATTTTCAAAAAACTTCACATAAGTCTTGCAACTAAAAATCTCTATACATTTCATTAGAAGAAGTCTTAAGAAATATTCGAAAATTTTACAAACATAAGTCTGGCAATCCATTTTTTATTTTTTATTTTTGCCTTTTGTTTTCTTATTATTTTTACTAATTATTTTTTAAGAAGCCTCAAAAAGTAAATTAGAAAACTTTTTTGGAAAACCAGTAACAGTTTTTGGATTTTAGTTTTTGACACATCCTAATGTATATACTTAAGCATAAAAATGATCAATTTGCATTTTTAATTATGTTTAAATGTTGACACATTCTATAATTTATTGCTCAAGCCACTGCATAAATCCTTATCGCATTTCTCATGTTTCTCAGTCCTAGCTATTTTTGAGAGCAACAGCTGTGCTTAGAAACCATGGCGAGCACGAAAGTCGGCGTTTTTAGGGGTGTTCTTCTAAACTAAAACCGGAAATTCAGAAATGAAAATTTTTGAGCAGTTAGGGATTATAATAATGATAAATAAAAATAATTGTATTAAGCCTCTGTGGTTAAGTAAAAAGGGTTCCATAGGTATTAGCAATGCTCTATATATTCGGAGGTTAATGTCGCACAGCTGAGCTTGTTTTTCACATGAGAAATATCAAAATTCTGCCACAAAAATAACCTTGAAATTGAAATGAACTTGGTTATATGTGAATAGAGAAAAACATACATATAAATATAGACACTAAATAACAGCACTGATAAGTAACTGTCACAACTTAATCGCATTCGCACGTTTAGCGTTCTCCCGTTTTGCAGAGAGAATTTTGCATTCAGTGTTTATTCTGGCTTACTTTCTCTTAAACAAGGTTATGATTAGAACAGACTTTTGTTTAAGATAAGCCTTATAGCGTTATATATTGGCGGCGTTATTTTTAAATAATCTGTATTCAATGTGCACACCTTAGTCGTTAAAATTGCTTGGAAAAGAGCGCACACACAAAATACAAAATGCATTTCAGCAACTTTTGTTTACACATAGGACTGCTATGTCTTGCTGCTGGACCGCTGGCGGAGGCTTGGCAGGCGCGCGCCAACTATCACAACGACGGTGCGTGTAACTCGAGTCTTAAATATTATTAATTCAACAATAATAGATTTCGTAACTAGTTTTTAAATTTCTATTTTTTATCAGCTCATCCGGGAAAATGCGTGGTCAGTGAAACGCTCATTCTCTCACCTGGTGAGAAGGCAAAATCTCCCAACTCCTGTTCGGTAATTTATTGTGGCAGTAAACAAGGACATGTCATCATTTCTGGGTGAGTTCAAGATAGTTAACAAAAGCATGAAGAAAGAAAAAAGACAGAAAGAGGTGTGAAGAATCGTTTTATATCCAACAGTAACTGATATAATTCATATAAATCAGCTTAATGAAATTGAAGTAGAGACGATCTTTGATTTACCAAAACTTTGTTAGTAGTGAATCAAATAAGAAACTGGTATAAATGATATAGTTGGACATAACTACATAGAACACGTCAAGTTAAAAACTTTGAGAGTAGCTAATCGAACAAAAACTGGTATAAATACCACCAACTGGTATAAACAAATACAGATAGTGTATTCGATTGTGCAAGACTTGCGGATTATTAAATCGAACAAAGAACTAGTATAAATCGCATAATAAAATAAAGTGGTGCACTCAATTTAATAGAGTTCGAGATTGTCTTCGATTTGCCAAAAATGGTAAAGTAATCAATCGAACAAAACTGGTATAAATACCAGAGAAAAATCAGAAAACAATAAACTGCTATAAATTACATATACTGGCCTAAACAAATAAAGACATAATGACAAGCATTTATACCAGCCTAATAAGATATATACACACTCTCTTCCGATAAATTCAATAGATTAACTTACTTATTGCCTTCTTAAGTTAAATTTTTTATAGGAGAGCAAAGAGTGACGAAGTAAGCACATCCATAATTCAAGTCATATATGAATACAGACTCATGCGAAAATTAAAACTATTATTTCCTCTGACATTTTTAGCTGTGGCGCTGTTGTTCCACCAGAGGGTTGCAAATGGGGCGATTATGTGAATAAAGATGCACCGTTTCAGGAGTGTTGTGCCCGCCACTTGGTCTGCGAAGCTGGCTTGACGGATGAGACTCGGAATTATCAAAAACACATCTGGGATATGTTCTCACGCAGTTCCAAAAATGCTGCGAACGAGTAAAAATTTAGTCCTTCGAAGTGAAGTAATGGTTTTGAGTAATGTTAGTAACGCTCTATTTAAATCTAATGTTAAATCAATGAAGTAATTATTAATTTTTTGTAGGAAAGTGTGATAATTTATTATGTTGTTGCCAATATAAGCGAAGAATTTAAGAAATTATAATTTCCGAGTATATATTATTGCTTAAATAAAATTGACGAATTTAAGAATGAATTGGTATAAGTCATAAAAGAATTTTCAGTGATTCAAAATTGGATTATTAACACATTGACAGCCATGCCACCCGTTTTTGTACGACGCATGAAAAGTGCTTGGCACCCGGTGAAGGTTTTCCTCCAAATCGCTTGGCAGCCAACGTGTTAAGACAGTAGAACTTTTATTTTGCTGAAGAGAGACTACTTTTCCAGTCCTCCAAATGGCTTGTGCCTCACAGTTTATGACAATAACCGTTAGTTTTTGTAAAAGGATTGTAGAAGAAAGCTAGTCTCTATTTAAAAGATTTGAATTCCACAAAACAAAAATAATATGTCGTTTCCTTAGCAGAAAATATATAAATATGTAAATAAATGATCAGGATGACGAGACAAGTTAAAATCCGGATGCCTGTCTGTCTGTTCGTACGTCTGTGCAAGCTGTAACTTGAATAAGAATTGAGATATCTTGATGAAACTTGGTACACATGTTTCTTGGTACCGTAAGACGGTTGGTATTGCACATGGGCGTAATCTGATCACTACCACGCCTACAAAACGCCATTTATCGAAAACAAAAAAATTACCATAACTAAGCTCTACAATAAGATACAAGAAGGTTATTTGGTATAACGAATCGCTTTAGGGAGGGGCATCTGCAGCTTATAAAATTTTTATAAAGTGGACGTGGCCCCGTTCTTTAATAGGTTTAGTGTTCACATCTCATATCACCACTAAAGTTAAAATAACCAAATGCACTCAAGGCAAATAGCACCCCTACCAATAGCGTGAAAATGGGTGAAATCGGACGATAACCCCGCCCACTCCCCATATAACGGTTTTCATTAAAGCTACTAAAAGCGCGATAACTCACTAAATAAACAAGTCAGAGACTTTAAATTTTACACGTAGATAAGCATAATTAAGTTTAGTCGGAGCCAATAAAATAATTGCAAAATGGGCGTAGCTCCGGCCCCATTTAGGTGAAAACCAATATCTCGAGTTCTACTTGAGCGATTTCAATGAAATTTGGTACGTAACATTAACCTGACATGACCATGTTATATTCGGATTACGACCACGCCTACTTCCCATATAACAAAAATTTAAGTTCCATCTGATTGTTTGACTTTCCAGTATACAAATCAAGCACTAATGAATATATTGAAATAAAACTTTGTAAAAAGAGTGCCTTCAAGATATGCCATTTCAAGTTTAAAAATTGTCAAAATCGAGCCATAACTGTTCAAGATTGTCAAAATCGAGCCATAACTGTTCAAGACCCCATGTACCGAAATGTGGACCCAAGTGGCCATGGTTGACTTTTTACCGAAATTATCGTTTAATGTATGAGATATATAATTGGAATTTGAACAGAACGCTGTACTGATAATATTATGTCTGTATGTCACATATGGATTGAATCGGATGATGATTTCGCTTAGCCGCCATATACCTAAGAGAAAGATTATCGATTATCTTAATAAAATTTAACGGACGTATTTTTCTAATAACGATGCAGCTTTGAGTTTCAAACGGATTAAATCGGGTAAAGAGTTGCCCTAACCTCCATATAACTAATATCATGATTTTCAAACATGCCGTTGATTTTGCTCCTTATATTTTGTTAATGGTATGTGTGGTACCTTAATGAAATTCAGCGGTCATCTTTTTCAGCTAATAATATGTAGTAATGCCAAAACTAGATTAAATAGGGTCAATGCTACTGTAATATATACCGTATATGTATGACCATGAGTAAGATATCTTAGCAAAATTAACTGAACATATAATATTGGATATACTATAGTTTAATAGTAAAAATATGTAAAATTCATGCACGAATTACGCAAACTCCCATTTACTACATTTACTTATAGGGCATTTACACTTAGGCCTTCCTTACTTGTTTCATACTACATTATTCAGTTTGATATGCAAATTCCGAAGCTATTCGCTTTTTTATAGCGTCTGAAATCTCTTGCTCTTCCTTGTTCTACTCTCGTCGGTTGGGGCTAATAATCAGGAATATTCATGGTGATCACTTTATTCAACTATTTTGAGTATGTGGCTAACACGCTGTGGATCATAGTGTAGGTCCCAATTCCGTCAGGAAAAAATAGACAAGTGCATATACCTATATTATATAGGTATTAAGTCACTTCCAATAATAATTTAATGCATATATGTATGTATATTTTTTTTTGTACATTTCGCGAAGAGTAAAGCGATAGACTGTATATTATATATTCATTAGGCCATTTAAACACCTATAATTAATTATCAATTACAACAGCTAGCAATAGTAACTCATACTAATTGCGGACATAATTTTCAAGCGCGATCACCGATCAGCGTTGGTATAGGTGTATATTTGAGTCTAATTCGTAAAAAACGCGTTAATGGTCAATATTAATTCTGATCATTACATAGCATTCTATATTAGTATATACATAGTTAAGCACATATTTTATAGACATTGTCCTTTAAAAATGAGCGACAAACGATCGCCGTAGTTTAGTCGTTGCATTTGCTTCGAGAAAAGCGTACACGAAATAACAAAATGCATTACGGTGTCTTTTGGCTATGCACAGGGTTGCTATTACTTGCTGGTGGACAGATAACAGAGGCCGCGATAAGGCGTACTTTTTATCACAACGATGGTGGGTAAAAAAATGTGTAAAATTATATATTTTATATTTTATATTACAGAATTATATATTTATATTTATATATATGCTCGTATAAATTCAAGGGTATAAAAGTAATATTAAGTTTTATTATTATCTCTTTTCTTACTGCCAATCAGCGAACCCCGGCATGTGCACGGTCAGTGAGGAAGCTATTCTTTTACCAGGTGAAACGGCATATGCGACAAACTTTTGTGCGCGAATTACTTGTGAAAATGAAGATGGTCTTTCCGTAGTTACTAGGTGAGTACAAGATATTAAACCAGTCATGACAGAGAGAGAAAGAGAGATAGGAAGTTAAATAGAGGAAAAGAGGTGACAGCTATAGATTTTTTTTTATAAATTCGATATGCGTCTTAGGCCTACTTGAATTATTTGTTTTAAGTATTGTAAGAGAAATAGAGACAACGTCAAAATCGGAAAAAACTGTCGAATTTTCACAGTAATTGTAAATAAAGTCTTCCTCTACTTTCGTTCATGACGTCACAGATCAATTTATTTTCCTTCCAAATGCACTTCACGAATAGTAACGGGTAACAAACCGTCATAATCTCTAGAATAATAGCTCAAATAATTGAAAAAAATAACCAAGTTACTTTTCGGTTTTTAATGTGTTGACCACTATGTATTGTGTTTAAAACCGAGTGGGCGATGAAGGATTTTCCGTTGCTTCAAAGCTAATAACCAGCTTTACTCAGCTTTACTCAGACGTTATAGTTTTCTTAGATTATGCGGACGAAGTACAAATTCTAAATACACTCAACTATGTTATTTCCACTCTCTTTTTTAGTTGTGATGAACAGGCGCCATTTGAAGGTTGCACATTTGGCTTTTATAAGGATCAGAACGCACCGTATCCGCAATGTTGTGAACGCAACCAGGTCTGCGCATAGAAAACAAAGTAATAACAATGGCATCAAGTTGATATTTGGTTATTCAAATGTAAAGTTTATTTAATAAAGTGATTTTATTTTTCGGGTTTATTGTATTTTACGACTTTGTAATATAACCTGCATGTATGGTACTCGGTATTTAAAAAATGGGGTTTTAAGGAAACCAAAATCCTGTAGTATTTATTTGGGGGCTTCAAAAGCTATACAAGTTTTTTTTTTAATTTAAGAATTTGTTAAAAGAGCAATTATATTAGGCTTTAATGCTGGATAATCGGCAATTCAATCTCATATTTCGAGGCTGGTTCAATAGATATTTAGTCTTCAAAAGATAAATCATATCAAGTCAAGAAATTGTCGATATCGGACCATAACTGTTTAAGTTCCCAGTTACTGAAGTTGTGGACCCCAGAGCCTATGACTGGCTGACCTTTTACTGAAAATATTGGGCAATGTGTGAGAAAAATTATTGAAATATGGGGAGAATTATTTCCTGGTAAAAGTATATCTGTATGCCGAAAATGGCTTTCTTTAGCCCCACAAATCTAATTTATGTTTAAATTTTCGAACTTCCGGCTAATCAAATTTAGAGACCGTGTATTCCCCTTAATAGTGTAACTTTATGTTTAAAATGAAATAAAATCGGGTGAAAATTTGCCCTAGCCCCCATATAACTATTATCAGGATTTTAAGCATCCGGTTGACTTTACTCCTTTTATGCTGTTATGGTATGGGAGGTACCTTATTGAAACTCAGAGAGCAACTATTTCTGTTAATAATATGTAGTTATGCCAAAAATAGATATAATCGGGTCAATACCACCGCTTTCTCGCATATACCTAATATAAGCTTTTCAAACTTTCGGCATTTTGGCATTATACTGTATATATCGGTTAATATGTGAAATATTTTAGCAAAGTTATTCGAACGGATCAAAAATGGCTGATTGAGTGGACGCCGGGATCTATTGCGCGGAGATGATCTCAGGCGACCCTTCAAGTTACCGACTGCAGTATCTAGCAGTCGGAAGTCTTTGCGGTCAGGAAAGCTGTTGAGATAGCTAACAACGAAAATGATATAGAGAATATCACTATATACGTCGATAGCCAAGCGACAATTAAAGAAATAATCTCACACTGCATTGTATCAGAGAATATCCTTAAAAGCAGGCAGGCTATAGTTGCTAGCAGAAAGCGGTTGCATATATACTGGGTTCCAGGCTACAAGAGCGTTTCAGAAAACGAATAAGCGGATGAGATTGCCAAGAATGTCATTCGCTTGACTACCGAATTAGTTCAGCAAATACGCAAGTCGTTAAGAACGATACACAGCTACATTTCTGAAAGGGCCGACAGACGGATCAGGGTGGGATCGAATGGCCTAAAGGCGTGCAGAATCGTCAAGATTATGTGCAAAGCAGCTGAAAGAAAGCACGCAAGCTTTCTACTCACACGGTCTCGAAAAGACTGCAAGACAGTTATTGAACTAGGTACAGGTCACAACTCACTGGCATCACATGCGAGCCGTATGAGCATTATTAACGATGACACATGTAGACACTCCGGAGAAGTAGGCATGAGAGAGATGTTGGAAAAGCTCCGCTGCTTATGTCCAGCCATATCTAGAACTCGGCTTAGATATCTAGGAGCTTCACAGTTCAATAGACCTGAGAAAGTATTAGAATTAGATATCAAGGCTCTATTACACTTAACAAAAAGCAAAACGATGTAAACTTCCGCTCTTATTATTAATAAACCTTCATCTGGTGTTACAAAGGACCTGTAGGTCTATGTATGGCGTGAAAGCCAGCCATTGCAACCTAACCTAACCTAACTAAACGTAAAATGTTATTATTTTTTCATTTTACGAAGTTTTAATCGACAGACCGTACATTTGTATTAATTTGGCGACTTAAACACTAACACAAGATTATCTATTATAGTATCTATAAATAGTAATTCATTTAAACATTACCTCTCTCGCTCATTGAGAGATGATTTGCATGCGCGATCACCGGTCAGCGCTCAGCGTCGGTATAGGTGTACATTTGAGTCTTTTACATTAAAAACTCGTTAACGGTCATGATTACTGCTGATCATTGATTTTATGTAAACATTACATTGCAATGTTATAAGTATATACATATATTTTACATACACTGTTCTTAAAAATGAGCGACGAACGATCGCCGTACTTCAGTCGTTGCAGTTGCTTCGATAAAAGCGTACACGAAGTATACAAAATGCATTACGGTACATTTTGGCTATGCGCAGGGTTGCTATTACTTGCTGGTGGACAATTAACAGAGGCTGCGGTAGGTCGTGCCTTTTATCACAACGATGGTGAGTAACAAAAGGCGTAGAACTATACATTTTGTACATTTTATACATATATACATACAAGTATATGTATATATAAATATAAGGATATAAAAGTAATATTACATTTATTATTATCTCTCTTCCAACTGCCAATCAGCGCACCCCGGGAAGTGCACGGTAAGTGAGACAGTTATCCTCTCACCAGGTGAAACGACGGTAACATCGAACATTTGTGCGCAAATTACTTGCGAAAATGAAGACGGTCTTGCCAAAATTGCTAGGTGAGTACAATAAGTATTAGGCTACTGATGACAGAGAGAAAGAGAAATCGAAAGAAAACGAGTTGACAGCTAAAGAGTTTTTTTTAATAAATTCCATATGTATATATGTATAATTATTTGTTTTTAAAATAGAAAGAGAGATAAGGATAACGTGAAAATCGAAATGAACTGTCGAGTTTTTATAGTAATTGGAAGCAAATGCTTTCCCTTTCGTTCATGACTTTACGTAACAATTTATGTTCCTCTCAAATGCACTCCATAAATAGTAACGGGACGGGACGTCATAATCTCTATTTTCATCTTTCTTCTTAGAATAAAAAAATTTAAATTAAAAAAAAAAATTAAAATAAAATTGCAACGGAGATCTCCTCCGGTTTCAATTTATGTTTTGATAACTGTGATACGTAAAAATCGTATTGTGCTTAAAATTTACTGGATAGGCAAGGATTTTCAGTTGCTGGAGAACTAACAGATCTGTTCTGAAATTTTACTAGCATACCTAAATAAAAGCGTCGAGCGAAACGTTTTGTACCGCTCTGCGTTAATGCCGACGTGGCATCCCTAAATAAAACTTTACGTAAAATTTTCCCTTCAATGCTGAAGTTTGTGTATTTAGAACTTTTTGACAGTAATTTGCCGCTGCCGCTTTTATTTAGGGAAGGCAGTTAGTTTTATATTTAATTGGTTACATTGCTGTGAAGATCATGTGTACCGTTATATATGAAATACAATTTATATAGGTCTATACTTGGTTACAGCACAAATAGTGAGAATACAGTGCTGCTTTAACTTCTCTAATTGAGAACGAAAATACAAACTTTACATTTAATCACCTAATATTTCTCCTTTCTGCTTTAGTTGTGGCTCCCAAGCGCCGTTAGAAGGCTGCGAATGGGGCGATCCTAAGGATGCGGATGCGCCATATCCGGAATGTTGTGAACGCCACCGGATCTGCGCATAGAAAAAAGTATAATAAGGGCATTATGTTTATATTCGGTTATTCAAATGTAAAGTTTATTTAATAAAGTTATTTTGTTTTTTTGGTTTATTGCATTTTGCGTCTTTGTAATATAACCTGTACGTATGGAACTTGGTATTTAAAAAATGGGGTGTTGAGGAAAAATCTTGTTGTTTTTTTCAAGAGATTTAAAGGTTATACAAGCACTTCAATCTCATCCGCCAATAAATATTTAGCCTTCAATAGAAAAACGAGCTGTTAGGCGTCATGCTGAAGAAGGGCCAAAAGGGATCTGAAAGTTTAGCCTTTCCTAAGTATCGATAAAGATCACAGCTTGTGAATCCTGGAAAACGATGGTAGTCTAGTCTACGGTTTCTTTGGAGAAGATTCGTCAGTGAAGACCACTGCTGCGTTCTTTCTATGGTCTCTGGTGTATACTAGTAGTTCTATGTTCCATCTCTCCTCAATGGTTACGAAACCACGCAGAAACTGCTTTTAAAGTGCATTCGTTTCCTTGTTCAAAGACTACTTGATCCATATTACTAAATGAAAGTGACACACTCAATCCCCGCCACTGGATTGCAAATGCCTGCGAACCATTTAAACTTACGTGCTCGCTGGTATACGTGATATGTATGATTGCGTACACTTGACTTAATGCGTACAGTTTCACTTATTGATTGGCAAGGGACTTGATGTGTCTACGCAAGTCTGCCCATGTAAGAGTCCATTCAAGATTATTGACATTTTACACGCGCAAAAATTTTCTAATACCATTAAAATGTTCAAAGCTTATGGCAAGAATATTTTACTGTAGCGACACTAAAAACACATTTTGTGTCTTCGTTAACCTTTGCTGACTGTGTTGAGGGATTTCCTCTAGTTGGATAGTTATATAATACTTCGCAGTGGTATGAGTGATATGGTATGTCTTTAAGACTAACAGAATTGTAGAAATATTGAATAATTTGGCAAAATCTCCGAATGGCTGTTGAATATTTTTAGAAGCCTTATTGCTTTAGAGTTCAGACGGAAGCTTGATATGGCTTTCGAAGAAAGTTGAAACAATTACGAAGTATCAGTTACACACCTAAGGCATTTTGCTGTGCCGTTCTCTGTCAGTAAAATGTTTTACGAATACATCAATCGGAGCCGAACTATTTTTAAAGACGCTGGCCCAAGGGTTCGGTTTAATAATAGCGATGGTATAGGTTAACCTATATTGACTTAAAACTCATCATAGAACTAAAAATTCTGGAAACCGTACAGTGTAAAATTCCATTTAATAGCTAGTGCAACAATATTAATAACAATATTAATTTCGTCTATATTTTTAATTTTGGAATATAAGATGAGTTAAAGTTGTTATCAAAGTATTAGAAACCATTTCCCAAATAATTTAAGGAATTGCGCCGAGTTAACAAACCACGGCTCGATAAAAATCCAGGTCCGCGCTAATTACTTAGAACCGACTGCCGTGGGAACGACTTTATAGGTAATCGTCTTTTCGCAAGCTGAAAATAGTTCAAAAAGGTGCTTTGAAAAAGTTTGCCAGAAATATTGTTTAAGCTTTATATTCCTGTTTTTTTTTTTAACTTTGAAGTCAGGTATAGTCTTAGCTTCCAGTTAGGTTTCAATTCAAAATTCAGTTTGTGAAATTCCAAGATCCAGTACAAAAAATTGACTGCTTTTGGATTTATGGAACCTTGGCTAAGCGGGTAAAAATCCATAATTTTCTAGTAACAATATTGCACTTTCAAAAATGCAGAACAGTTTCTTCTACGATAATTTTACCATTTTACTCAAACTTTCACAAATAGAAGATTAATAGAGAAGGGGTCTTAAATGAACTCTGTTTAAATGATATATTTTTGTACTCTGTTTAGGGTGTATATACTAAGTTGGCATCGGACACCCTAGTCGCTTAGATTTTGAGATATCGATCTATTGTAAGGGATCTCTTGTATTTGTGAATGTATTAAAGTTTCGGCGCAAACGCAGTTAATATGTTTTCTTGTTATTACCTAACCTTGGAAAAACTTCATGAAACCGTATAGCAAAGTCAGAAGGCTTAAAATATACAACAATACTGTTATATGATATTAAATTAGCTGCAACTACTATAACATTACGGTAGGTCATATAAAAGCTCAATGTGTATACATACGTATTTGTTTTTAAATTTTGCGAATAATTAATCGACATATATATTATATATAATATATTTATTAGGCCCCCTTAAGCACTTACTGGTGTAATTAATTATCAATTATAGCACCTATAAATAGTTACTCATCCCAAACTCATACAAACATTTACTCCTCTCGCGCATTGCTGAGCTAATTTGTATGCACTATCACCGATCGACGCTCAGCGTCGGTGTAGCTGTACATTTGAGTCTTATACTTTAAAAACTAATTAACGGTGATAATTACTGCTGATCATTGCTTTAATGTAAACATTACATAGCCATGTTATAAGTATATACATAATTAAGTATATATTTCATAGACATTGGCTTTAAAAATGAGCGACAAACAATCGCCGTAGTTTAGTCGTTGCATTTGCTTCGAGAAAAGCGTACACGAAGTAAACAAAATGCATTGCGGTATATTTTGGCTATGCGCAGGGTTGCTATTACTTGCTGGTGGGCAGCTAACAGAGGCCGGGACGTCAACTGCCATTTATCACGACGATGGTGAATTATATACTTTGTCTATATATATATATATATATATATGTAAATTAAATGATATAAGAGTAATATTATATTAACTTTAATTACAATCTTTCTTCCAACTGCCAATCAGCGCATCCCGGCAAGTGCACGCTCGGTGAGAAAGATATCCTCTCACCAGGTGAAACGACGATAACAGCGAACATTTGTGCGCGAATTTCTTGTGAAAATGAAGAGGGTCTTGTGGGACTTGTTGGGTGAGTACATGATATTAGACGATTCATGAATTATTTGTTTTTAAAATAGTAAGAGAGATAGAGACAACGTTCAAATCGGAAAGAACTGTCGAATTGTCACAGTAATTGTTAAAAAAGTCTGTTCTACCTTGACTTCACGGATCAATTTATTTTCCTGTCAAATGCACTTTACAAATAGTAACGGAACAAACCATCATAATCCTATTTCTATGACTTTTGTTAGAATAACACCTTCAATAATTGAAAATATAAAACTTAAGTTACTTTCCGGTTTCTATTTATGTTTTAACGACTGTGAGAGAAGTGTATTATGTTAAAAATCTAGTGGACGGGGAGTGATTTTGCGCTGCTGAAAAGCTAACAGCCAGTTTTACTCTGAAGTTTTAGTTTGTCTAAGTTTAGGCCCACTGTCAAGATATACTGTAGCGTTATGTAGAAAATACAATTTGAATAGGTCTATACTTGCTTACAGCACAAATAGTTAGAATAACGTGTGCTCTAACTTCCCTAAACTCACAATAAGTACATATAGGTATGTAGTATCAAATAAAACATTAACTAATTGAGAATTACAGCATACGCAATTATGCGAACAAAGTACAAACCATACATTTACTCACCTATATTATTTCCACTCTCTTCTTTAGTTGTATTCCCCAGGTGCCGAAAGAAGGCTGCGTGTGGGGCATTGCTAAGGATAGGAGGGCGCCATATCCAGAATGTTGTGAACGCTACCAGATCTGCTCCTAGAAAATGAAGTAACAACGACGGTATAATGTTTATATTCAGTTATTCAAATGTAAAGTTTATTAAATAAAGTGCTTTTATTTTTCTGGTTTATTGCATTTTACGACTTTGTAATATAACCTGTGTATGTATGGAACTGGGTTTTTAAAAAATGAGGTTTTGAAGAAACCAGAATCCTGTAATATTTATTTGAGTTCTTAAAAAGTTATACACGTTTTTTTAAATTTCAGACTTTGTTAAAAGAGAAGTTATGTTATGCTTTAGAGCTGGATTCTGCAGCATAATCGGCAATTCAATTTCATATTCTGAGGATAGTCCAATTAATATTTAGTTTTCAAAAGCAAAACGAGAGTTTTACAGTTTCTGGAGGTCTGGCGGCGCTAATCTCCTCAAACGACTCAAATTTCTGCGCGGTGAATGTCTTTTACACGTCTGAAGCAAAAGAAAGTCGTACGGAGCCTAAACTAGAGAATACGGTATATGGAGCAGAAGTTTGTAGCCTAGTCCGGTCAATTTGGCGCAAATGCCTCTTTGCCAAAAGGAGTCATTTTATCTATTCTAAATATATTGATGAAAATTAAACTTTGTGAATCTCGGAATACGGTGGCAATTCCCTTCCCGGCCAATGGAACAGTATACGCTTTCTTTGAAGAAAATTCGATGGTGAAGACCACTGCTGCGCCCTTTCTTTAGTCTCTGGTGTGTACTAATGGTTCTATGTTCCATCTCTACTCAATAGTTACGAAACAACCCAGAAGCTCCTTTTGAAGAGCATCCGTTTCCTCGTTCATAAGACTACTTCATTCATATGACTGAATAAAGGCGACACACCTAATCTTACCTTGGGTGAGTCCTGATTTTTTTGGCACCAAGGAAGCTGTTGTTTTTGGCATAAATTTTGAATAACTGATTAATTTAATGTTAAGAATTTTCGCTATAGTGATTAGACGACAGTTTGATATTGCTTTGGAGGTAATTTGTACCGATGACGCATTAGTAATCACACACCTAGGGAATTCGGCTTATTCGTCTTCCGATAATACCATAAATATGTTTCACGAACAAATCAATCGGAATAGACTAACCTTTAAAGACTTTAACCCAAAAATTTCGATCGAGTCACAGTCTCGATTGACTTTAAGGCATCATGGAAACTGAAGAAATAAATACTCTTGCAGGGTCTAATAGCTTGAGCAATTATATTGATTTCGTCTATATTCTTAATTTGGCATAAAAGATCGGGTCTCGTTGTTGCTGTGCTCGTAGAACGGTCGTTCGGTTAAAAATCCGAGTCCGTCCCGATTATATAGACACGACTGTAGTGGGAACGATAGTTATCGGTTATCATGTTTCCTCCAAATTCATGAAAATTGTTCAATTATGACGCCGTGGAAAAATTTTCGATACATATCACTCTTACTTTAAACTCCAGCGTTTTTTAGATGCTTTGGGGTTCTTAGGAGAAGACCTAGACTCAGAATTAAGATTTATAATCTATACCTTACAAAGAATTTAATCGTCTATCAAAAATATATAGTAAGCTTTACTTCAAACAAAATTGCGTTATTCATAAATAAATATTTCCAACCTTAACCTTGCGAATCGCTCATTCACACAAGATGCGGTTAATCATAAATCTAATTTATTCGACTAGGGAAGTAGGTAAATATGTAAAATAGAAATGACAAATCGCATAAACTTAACCGCTGAACAACTGGAAAATTTACAAAATTCAATTTCCTCGACGCATTCAAGCATACGGTAAATTGTACAAACTGCAAATCGGAAAATGTACGTAGGTGGAACAACAAGCAACAACAAATGGTAAACAGAGAATACTCGAAAGTGTAGTATACGTTGAGGCGATAAATCTGTGCGTGTGCTCCAAAATGTGGCATTGAGCGGGCGGGATATTTCAATGTCAAGTTGAGGCAAGTAAAGAGTTGGTAAACACATCATGTGTTTGGTCAGGATTCGATACATTTTTCTTAGGTTATGGTTATCTAGGCTATATTATTTTTTGTTGCTTAAGATGGTACAGACTATTGTGCGTTAGTATGTGTAAGCAAGGTTTACATATACTTTATAAGATCTCCGCTGATTGCTGCTGGGTGTTACCAACTTCGTGGCGAACTTAACGTACCTGTTTAGGGTATAAACTATGTCTTATATACCATACTATGGTCCTTAGCAGAAGACGTTATATTCTATCCATGTCATGAGGAAATTTGAAGTTGTTTTCGAAGATGCACTCGAAAATAGTCGGTTTAAAGAGACATTGTAGTATTTTTATACTGAATTGAGCGTCTGAAGTGGCTATTTATGTCTTAGACTCGCAGTTCAAATAAATTAGGCCTAACAGTCCCGTTTGAGATTCCATGTTTGGAGAGAAGCACAGCCAGTGTTGTAACAACTTTCATTTAAGGATGCGGACCTGCAATGTTTGATGCTTTAATACTTCACCTTTCTCTTTTTTTCCCTCTTTATCTCTTCCTCTATGGCTCTTACCATATGTGATCCTTTCAACTTTGGAGAGCATAGCGTAGGTCCAAATTCTGACAAATATATGATATTAAGTTAGTTACAACAACTATAACTTTAGGGCAGGTCATGTGTAAGCTCAGGGAAAATAAATACTTATTTTTTTATATTTTGCGAAGAATTAATCGACATATTATATATTTATTAGGTCCCCTTAAGCACTTACTGGTGTAATTATTTACCAATTATAGCATCTAGAAATAGTAACTCATCCTTAACTTATTCAAACATTTACCCCTCTCGCTCATTGCTGAGCTAATTTGCCTGCGCGATCACCGGTCAGCGCTCAGCGTCGGTATAAGTGTACATTTGAGTCTGTTACGTTAAAAACTCATTAGCGGTGATGATTACTGCTGATCATTGATTTAATACAAACATTATATACCATTATATATATTTGTAAGAATATAATTAAGCGCATATTTTATAGACACCGTTGCTTTAAAATGAACGACAAACGATCAACGTAGCTCAGTCGTTGCATTCGCTGCGAGAAAAGCACATACGAAGTCAACAAAATGCATTACGGTATATTTTGGCTATGCGCAGGGTTGCTATTACTTGCTGGTGGACAGTTAACAAAGGCGTCGAAGGGGCGTGGCTATTATTACGACGATGGTAAGTAAAAAAAAAGGTGTGCAATTATATATTTTGTCTACATATATAAAAGTAATATTAACTTTTACTACTATCTCTATTCCAACTGCAAATCAGCGAACCCCGGCAAATGCACGCTCACTGACACAGTTATTCTCTCACCAGGCGAAACGGCGATATCTTTGACATTTTGTGGACAACTTACGTGTAAAAATGAAGAGGGTCTTGGAGAAACTGTAGGGTTAGTATAAAATGCTAGACTTATCATGACAGAGAGGGAGAAAGAGCGAAAGAGAAGGAAAAAGTTAAAGCTACTTAAAGTATTTGTCTTTAGTGTAGTAAGAGAGATAGAGACAACGCCAAATCGGAAAGGACTGTCGAATTTTCACAGTAATTGTAAACAAAGTTTTTACCTGTCAAGTGCATTCTATAAATATTAGCGGAACGTAACGTCATAGAGCCTACTAGCATCTTACTTTTTAGCATACAAAATAATTGAAATAAAACAACTTGAAGTAACTTTTCAGAGTAAAATTACAATAGCGGTCGCTTCCGTTTTCGATGTTTTGATGACTGTGATAGAAGTGTGCTATGTTTAAAACCTAGTGAACAGGTTAGAATTTTCAGTGAAGAGTGTGCACCGTTAGATATGAAATACAATTTATATAGGTCTATACCTACTTACAGCACAAATAGTGAGAAGATTGCTGTTCGAACTTCCCTAACCTCACTTTATATATATATAGTGTCACATTAAAGGTTACTTAATTAAGAATTGCAACATATGAAGTTATGCGAACGAAGTACAAACTTTACATTTCCTCATCTAAATTAATTCCACTCTCTACTTTAGCTGTGGTTTCCATGCGCCGTTAAAAGGTTGCCAATGGGGCGATTTTAAGGATGAGACGGCGCTATATCCAGACTGTTGTGAACGCTACCAGATCTGCGCATAGAAAACGAGGTAACAACGATGGCATCATGTTGACATTTGGTTATTCAGATGTAAATTTAATTTAATAAAGCGATTTTATTTTGCTGGTTTATTGTATTTTACGATTTTGTAATATAATCTATACGTATAAAACTCTGTATATAAGTTTTTCTAAATTTCAGAATTTGTTACAAGAGAAGGTGGGTTCGACAATAGTGCTGGCTTCTGTAGCATAATCGGTACTTCAATCTCATTTTATCAACTTTTCTTCTTTATGAGGTCTTCAACATTTCCTTCTGGGTATTACAAACTTCGTGTAAAACTTAATATACCCTTTTCAGGATATAAAGACATGAAATATCCGTGGCATTGTTTGCTGAAGGCAAATGCCAATCTTGCGTATATCTAATAGAGTAAGTACATAACTAAATATATGTAAACATACATATATTCTTTCAAAAAGGCTCAACAGCTCTCAAATGCTTGAATTTTACTGATATCCACAGTAGTAACTTTTGTTTATGTAATGCTGTAAATATGCTTACGCCGAGTACCGGAAACTTATTTATATAATATATAAGTTTCATTTACTCGTAAGAATATACATCCACCTTTCTTCGTGAACTACTGCTTTCTTTCTTCACAAATTACTGCTGCTCTTCTTCTGATTGTCGCTTTAATGCAAAGCAGTTTAGTCAAAGGCAACGATAATGCTGATTTCCGTTAAATTCAAATCCGGTAAAATTTTCCTTACATTTGGCTGGGTTTTTTTAGCTCATGAGCACACTCAAGCAGTCATCATATATTCTTTTGATCTTCTAAAACATATTAGTGTAGATTTAAGTGCAGAAAGATTATTCCGCATATCGACAGAACTGGAGTGCTTTTTCAGAATTATGCAAGAACATTAATGGATTCGGAAATATATATAAAACTCTGTCGACAGTGCTTGAGTTCTAATGGCACATGCAAGTATTTAATGAATGAGTTAGATAGGATTAGTAAAAACAATTTTAACAATACAAATATGTAATCAAAAGTTACTTAGGAGCTCACGTGGCACTTACCAAATCTTAGTATGTAAATTTGTTTAGCACTTTACACATTTTTACACACTTTTGAATTCACTTATCGCAATTGCGCACAGTTCACTTTAAAATATAAACGTCAAAGTGATATAAGCTGCGCAACAGCATCAATGCGATTTCACAGGGTGCACAACGTGAAAAACGTTCACTGTTTAATTATTTTTGTCTTATTATATTTTTTTTTATTTCTGCCTCTTTTTTAAATTTTCTTTTCTTTTTATTAAAAAATATAGCATGCGCTGTAATTCAAATTTCACGCTTAATACTTTCTGCTCCGCATTCTTTTGTTTGACGGCGCTTATTCAAGGTAATCACACTAACTGCAGTTATTAAATTTTCTTTGTGGCAAGAAAAAGAGTGTGTATGTACTTTATATATGACATTAAGCAACTTACTACATAGAATCAAAACAAAATAAATTTTAATAACTCAAATGAATCCAAGAAAGCTGAAGAAAACCTCAGCAACAAGGCAGAAAAATAATAATAGGCAAACGGTGTTAGTCCTAATTAACGCAGCTTAGGCAAACTCATGTAAAAGCTTACAAAAATGCAGTTATTTCCTTTGTTTTGTGAATAAGCCGCTATTATTGAAATACAATTATAATTAAAACTGAATTAAAATATTTTCTGTTTCAATTTAAAGTTAAAAAAAATGTAATACACTCATGTGAGGCACCCAGTTCATTCTTTTTTAAGCAGCAGCTGATCATCAATATTAAAATATTAACAAAGCTGTCAAAGCGGAAATAAGTTTGAACTTGTGCTGTGAAACCATGATTAATGGGTGAAACGATAGATTAAATCTTCTTTAAATTAAGAAATATTAAAATATATGTATTAAAGAAAAATTAAAAAATAAATGTTAATTATTGTAATAGGAAATTAAATGCAAATGTTATTTGGATTTTGGTGTTAATTATGGAATTCGTAATCGGAAGCTGTAGTGCTAAGCAAGTTTGCCAGGCGAGCATAGCTGGGTGTTCTTGTGGATGGCTCTGATGGCCATGAGCTTTTAACAGTTATAATTGCGCATATTTATACATAGATACGAGTAAATATATACATCTTTATGGATTGTTTGTGGCGTTATTTTATTGTTGAAAGATTGTAAGTGCAGGCTGCTCGATCGAAGTTTCCAAAACACGCTGAGTACAATATATTAGGTAAAGAAAAAAGTTCGTTCGGTTTTTTATTGATTTTTCAAAAGATGACTTGTGTACATTTGTCCGATTTAAGTCAAATATGCGCCGTTTTGTTCGAGATGCCAACTTCATTATACCCCTCTCGTAGAAGACTGCGTCCCTATTGCCAAAAAACTCGGAGAGCCAATTTTCACAGGCCTCTCTTGAGGCCAACTTCTCACCATTAAGCGCGTTCGCCATGGGCAGGAAAAGATGGTAATCACTTGGTGCCAGGTCCGGACTATAAGGTGGGTGCAAGAGAACCTCCCATCCGAGCTACAGGTGCTTCTGGCGAGTCACCAAAACGTGTGTGGCCTGGCGTTGCCCTGATGGAACACAATTCGGCCTCTGTTGATCAAAGATGGCCTCTTCTGGATGAGTGCTGCCTTCAAGCGGTCCAGTTGTTGGCAGTAGAGGGCCAAATTGAGCGTTTGGCCATAGAGGAGCAGCTCGCAGTAGATGATTCCTTGCCCATCCCACCAAACACACAGCAAAACCTTCCTGGCCGTCAGATCGAGCTCCTTTTTGAATCCAAGGTTATGCAAATGGTTCCAAACGGTTTTCTGGCTTATCTTTAGTTCCTCAGCAATTAAATAAGTGCTCACGTCACGGTCTGTTTCCACTATTTCCATGATTTTATCGCAATTTTCGACGACAGGCCTCCCGACGCGTGGTGCATCTTTGACATCGAAATTACCGGAACGGAACCTAACAAACCACTTTTGTCCTGCTTTTTCAGCCGCTTTGGCTGCTTTTTCGCTTTGATCGAAGAAAAATTGTAAAATATAGCGAATTTTCTCTTTGTTGGTGTCCATCTTTGACGAGCACTCACAACGAACTGAGTAAATCAATCGAAAAACTGTCAAAGACAAACTTTTAGCGCGAATAAACACGTTTTCAGCGCCGTATAGTATGACATGATGCGACAGGTAACACTAGTACTATGGACAATAACGCCATCTCTTAGATAAAAACCGAACTCTCTTAGATACTTGACCTAATATTATAGTCTTCTCAATAGGCTCTTAAACGTTATGTTAGCGAAATTATAAAAATAAAATTTCGTTTTAAAATTAATATTGAAAATTAGAAAGCAACTTTTTTTATTTTTATTTTCAGTATTTGCATATACAATATATACATATACGTATATGTATGTATTTCTTTTTGCGCTATTAAAAATGTACCAAAAGACTAATTGTGTTCATTTTGATTAATTAGACATTATTACAATTGGCACTTAAAAAATCTCATTGAAATTCAGTGTGCTTCATTAGATACGAATTTTCACAATTTTGTCTAAGGTATTAATTTGTCCTAGGTATAATTAGTTAGCATTTCAGAGGTATAGTTGCGCATTAAAACTACTAATTGATGGCTAGTTGAATACTAAGGTATGTCAGCTTATATACATATGTACTATATATATACATACTACACTAATTTGTAATTGCAATGCAGAAAATTGAGAAAACGGTACATTTTAAAAGTTTTGTGTTTTTTGTGGAGCGTCAATGAGTGAAAATATATCAAAGTGATCACTTCATATTTATTAAAGAGTTGCACTTTCCTGCAATATCTTTGATTGTTAATTTCTTGCTTTAAAAGAAAGTTGATTAAAGCTTATTATTTGTTTTTGTGATATACAAGTATATGCGTGATAAAAAGCAACGACCAGAACGTGTAAAAATATATATAAATGATCAGCGTGACGAGCTGACTCGATTAAGCTATGTCTGTCTGTCTGTCGGTCAGTCAGAATATATGCGAAGAAATCTTTCAGTTTTTAAGATATCGTCTGAATTTTTGCCCACGTCTTTTTCTCTCCAAAGGGCTGCTCATTTGTTAAAATCGTTATAGGACCACAATACCATAAAGCTGCCATACAAACTGATCGATCATGCTGAAGTCCTTGTATGGAAATTTAGCTCAGAAAACTATAGCATATGGCTGCCATACAACCATGACCGATGAGAATCCAAAAAACAATATTTTTATACCCTTTTATGCTAAAAAAAATCAATCGGTATTGGCTGCACCAATGCTATAACTTTTTTTTCTTTTCTTCCGTATCGTAATACTATTTAATGTTTTATACCCAAAATCGTAGTTTTCCAACGTCATCATTTTTGCTAATTCATACTTTCCGGGTTTCCGTTATTTATTAAATGCATATATATTTATCGGAATATTGTAAATATATGTATATGCCTCTTAAAATTGATATTATAGATTCATATTTGTAAAATACTCATACTTGTACTGGTACTCAAAATTATAGTTGTATTCATAACACATGTATTTATTCTCCTTGTTTTTTTCCTTCAGCATACAAATACGTTTTGTACTACTCATACTCGTTATACTAATACTCATATTCATACTTGTACTCATATTCAAAATATATTTCTTTATAATTTTTGTTTTCTCACTTAAGCCAACTAAAACTTCGAAAACTTCTTCAAACTCATATTCATATTTAACTTATATTTATTTCTGTTATCTTTCTTCGGCCATCAAATATTATTCTGCCCATATTGCAAATTAATTAGAGCCACTGCCGTCCAACTTACTAATACTACAAACTGTTTTGCTGTTAATTTGTATCCATTATCGTTTTAATTAACACTGAGCTGAACTATTTCTAACTATTTCTTTTATAAGTACATACGGCTGAATATGTTGTCTCTAAGTTATCTTCATCATATATACGGAATCAACTTTTGCGCCACTTAAGTAAACACTTTGTCAGCAACTTTTTGAGCAGGCGACTCCTACGCAAAGGACAAGCCACTGACGCTACATGTTTGTGCATACACACCCCTATACATAACATACTTATGTCA